ATCTTTATATGCTCTCGAATATTTAAACTACACTGATGGAGGAGATTCGTGTAATCGATGAATTCCGATTTGTAGTACAGCTGTTATATATCTCGCGAAATATGAATCGAAAAACAATTCTAACAAACCGCCAATGCGGCCTTAAATGTGTTCGCGGCAGCACCAATACCGTCCTCATTTTCAACACTGGCGTTCCGTTCTCTCCAGTTGTCGCTACACGCTGTTGATCGCGCACAGTTCGCGAAATTCGAAGATTTCCGCGAGGAAATTCGCGACATATCAGTCATGGACGATGTTCTCGAGAGCTGGGAGCAAATAGAGGAATCCAGTGTAAGACGCGTGTCAAGTTTTGTTCTCCAAATTAAACATAGAACGATATAGTCTTGTGTTAACCTATACCCGTGCACGCGCAAACTCTTTCCTGTGCAAAGTTTTCGGAACGTGACGAGAAAATATTGTCAAGACCGATTGTTTCGTGTCCTTTTCGCATTAAGAATCGTCTATCGCTTCAATGTTGATATGTATTTTTTTTTTTTTTTGGCAAAGTATTAATTGTAGTGATAATAGTAATGGTTCATGTTACCATAAGGCTACATTTTTGCTTGGCTCATTTTTGTTTCAAATTGTCGAACTTCCATACGAGTTATTTTTTTCCCTCCTAAACTAATACACTCTCAGTCGAATTTATCACTTGATCATTTCTATAAATCATTTATTATCGTGTACAAAAAAAAATAACGTAAAATCATAATGGATTTTAGACTCTCGATAAAAGACTGGAGGCCCTTCAGTTGGACGCAGTAGATGAAGAAATAGAATCTTCTAGGTAGGCTTAGACAAACATTTGTTAGGTTCTCTTTTGCTTTATATTTTTCAGAGTCATTCCAAAAGATATATATTTCTATTATGCGATTTCTACTGTGTATCATATGCGCACACATATATATATATAAATATTATGTATGAAATAATTTTTTGGATACAGGTCTAGTCATAACACAAATACAAGAATGATCATTTTGGGAGATGATGGTCTCAGATCTCAGTATGTACCTCCAAAGCCTACAGTAAAGATATTGAAGAGACCATCTAGAGATTCACGGGGAAGTGGCGATGGGCCACTAAACGACGAAAAACCTAAACAACCTATCAAATCTCTAAAACAGGTATGTAACATTGTCTCGTTTAAGTTACCGCTTATCCTATTGAACACACAAGAATATAAAAAAAATTATTTCAGAGAGAGCAAGAGTATGCAGAAGCGCGGAGAAGGATTTTAGGGGAGGAAAAGAGTCCGGAAGAAAAAATGGCGCAGGAGGTCAACAGAATTCAGTCGAAGTCGAGCGCTCCAAATGGTGGCAATTATCCCAGCAATGTAATTCGCATGCCAGCTGGCCCAGACGGTACTCGGGGCTTTAACGTGCGTAGGTAGCGCGTCTTCCAGTGGACATTTTTCATCCACCTTTTTCGTATTCTCCTTATCCACCGCCATGGCGAAGGAGAACGGCTATGAGGCCGATCGAAACAGCTATGCACTCCGAGCAGAGTGAACAGAAGATCTACAGAAGATCTTTAGAGCTCTGTCCCGTAGATTATCATCGTACGTGGACATAGGCATTGAGAGAGAATGGACTTGTAAAGCAGAGACAAATATATAAGAGAGAAAAATAATTATATATATGTATGTATGTATATATATAAAGAATTACATTTTTTGAGCGACACAATGGGACGGAGGCGTGGATTCGTCACATGCAAATGGAAATGTTTCATCTCATAAATTTGTAAAATATTCAAAGTACCTAATGGATTGTGTAATAAAAACACTACTTGTATGTGTATATATATATACATATATATACACACACATACACACTATACATGTACATGTGACAACTCTGTATGCAATATATTGAGCGTTTTGTTATTAAATCGAAGATACTTTTAAACGAATCTTTTAATTGACTCTTGGCTCAGGTAATATGATACAAATATAAAAAAAAAAAGCTTGTTTTTATAACTTTATACTGAGTAATATTTCATATTACTCTTGAAGTACACACTCTGAATCATGCTTGGAAGAGTATAAATTAGGAGGGAATTAAAGCACGATGATGATTCATCGTAGTTATTTAAATAGTATCACAGATAACTGCATCATATATGTATATATGACATCGATAATGTACATATATACAAGTATTATAAGAGTCAATCTTAAGGTTAATTTATATCAAATACATATAGCATAGAATTTTCTACGTAAAAAAATACACAAATAGATCTTTTGAAAGAAATAAAAGTAAAAACTGGATAAAATTCTGAATCGGGATATATTTTAGAGCAGAATCACGATACAAAGGTATCAAATCTGTTTACGCTTACGTTGGTAATCATACCGGGATGCGATAACGATATATATATATATATATACACACACACACTTATGTATATATACATATACGTCGCGGCGCATGTCAAATCGCGCGTGTCCGCCGCTCCATCGGCTCGTCGAGAAAGATATTTTTTGCGGTTCTGAAATGTGAGATCGGCAAATTGTCCGTGTGGAAAGAAGTATCCGGGATTTGGAAGTGCCGTGGCGTTATTTTCGACCGGAGGCGAGATAAGGATGGCGGAATCGAACGGGCCGATCCTTCACGTCATCGTCGTCGGGTTTCATCACAAAAAAGGCTGTCAGGTAAAAATCTGTCGATTAACCTACCTGCGTGCGTTCTGCATCCGTGCGTTTAAATCACATATTGCACACGCTAACATAACATTACTTTTCAGGTAGAATACTCGTTTCCGCCTTTGGTGCCTGGCGCGCCTAACGAATGCCCCTTAGGATGGAAGTACCTGCCTACGCTCGCCCTACCCGATGGTTCTCACAATTACGACGAGGATACAGTCTATTTTCATTTGCCTAGTCTCAACGATCCAAAACGCACAATATATGGCATTTCATGTTTTCGACAAATACCAGTAGAGGTACATAAAATATATCTTGCACCTAAAACTAATCTTATTTTAATTTTAACAGAATATCAAATTGAATTGTTTCTTTTTTACTACGATTACAGAAATTAAAAAATCGCACTTCTGATATAACAAGAGGCACTGTTCAAAAATCGGTGTGCGTGCTGAGTACTTTGCCTTTGTACGGGCACATTCAAGTGAAAATGGCTCTAATAACGCATGCATATTTTGACGAGGGAGATTTTAGTAAAGTGTCCTTATTGGAGGATACTTATCATCATCTTAATTCATGTATGAGTGGTGATAGTCAGATTCCGCCGCAAATTTTTGTTGGTAATTAACTTTAAACAAATTTTTAATGGATGAAGTTATACAACTTACATTACATATGATATTTAAATTATTTATAGGTTTGTCCGCAAGAGATTTTATACTACAATTTCGTCATAAAGTATTGCTCTTATTTAAATTACTTTTACTTGAGAAAAGGATAGTTTTTTATCAATCACCTGTACAGCCATTGTGTGCTACGATATTGACTCTATTGTCACTATATCCTGGCATGATTGAGCACGGCCTTCAACAAGCGGCGTGTGTCAGGTATTACAGAGAAAATAATTTATTTAAAAATCTTCTGTCAAGATTGATCAATAAATAATTCTTTGTCTCTTCAGACCATCTAGGCCAATGTCTCCGATACCGACTTTTGACGAAGAAGAATTCTCGACAAACAATGTCGATTCTAACTTATCGTCCACTTGTATTGTCAAAGACAATATATCTAAGTCGAACCATGAACAATGTAATGACAATAGTAATAGAAATTCATTGTGCATCAACGATAACAAGACCGTCGAGTCCATGGAGGGCAAGTGCTTGGATGGGCTGCAACATGTAACTCTGCAGAAAAATAACAATGATAATGAAAATATAAATATGAAAGTAATCGAAATCGAGTCGGCGCAAGAATGCACGGAATCTTATTTAGAAGAGAGCAACTCCAAATACTCGCCACAGACGAACGAAAACGTACACAGAGTGCACAGTGTAAACACAATCACGCTGAATACGGGCGATACAGATAATAGTTTACCCCGCGATACGAGTAACGATGCGCTCTCCGATGCGAGATTAACGAACAACATCACGCAAATCGCGCATATTAATCCTGAATTGTGCGGCCTACCTTTGGAGCTATTTACAAAGGTAATGATATTTTTGATATTATTTTATCTATCGTATATATCGTTAGAACGAATGTTTTGCATATTGTGTAAAAATCTATATTTGTTCCAGGGATATCTTTGCTTACCCTATCTGTCTTTACCTTATCTGGATCTCTTGGGAGACGTGAATGTTAGAGGATATATAGTGGGCGCTACAAATGTATTGTTTAAACAAAAGAAGCAACTTATTGACGTATTAGTTGAAGTAAGTGTAAGAGTGATATTGAATTTAATCGTAATTAAATATAAACGATTCGACTTTATTGACTGTAATTTTTTATGTTACTTAAAGATTGAAAATACCCGAATAGAGGCAACCGATCCCGAACTGAGACGACAGTTGCATCTTACTACCGAAGACTTGAGATTCGCCGATTACATCGTGAGGCACGTAGCCGAACCTCGGAAGGATATCTTTCTGGACGGGGTAGGATGGGAGGGTGGCGACGAGTGGATCAGAACGCAGTTTCGGGTGTACCTGTTGAGCATGCTGCGTACCTGTATGCAGCAGGATACCCGTCAGTCGGATCATTATAACGCAGCATTTGTGTCCGCGTGGCGCGCTACAAACAACTATAAGGCGTGGTGCAACGCGAGCAAATCGGAGATACTCAATATCGAGCCTGGTCATCCCTTTGCTGGTCAACTGTCAGTGCAGGATATGAAACTACGTTTGTCACAGTGAGTATTAAAATCTTCCTATGTGAAATACGTGAATTTTTAATATGTAATTTTTTGTGCTCTTTACTTATTTGATTTATGACTAATCGTAAGGGAAATAAAAATCTATTTAATATACTGTTTCAGTACGATGCAAAACACAGAAAGCGGCAGAAAGTTAAATCAAGCAATGGCATCGACAGGACGCGCAGTAGCGACCACTGGGAAAGCTGTAGGTAAGGTTACACAATTTACTGATTTAAATATAAGTTGAGTAATAAAATACAATAATATATATATATAGAGCATTTAAATATATATACATTTTGTTTTCATATCAAAATATTTTCCTCGCATACATTGGTGAAAATTATACATTAATATTTATTTTTAAAAAAAGTAATATAAATAAACAAAAGTACAACTTTTTAATTATTATACTATGAAATCTTTTAATCGTGAATATATCAGAGCATCTGTCTAAATTAATCTTGCTTTAACATCTAATGCGGCCGGAATCATGTGCGCAATATTACTTTTGAAACTAACAATTTACAAAGGGGGAGCGCTATCACAAGCGAAAGGGGCATTCTCGAACTGGTGGAGCACGCTAACGACAGTTCAGCCGGTCGATGAAGCAAAGATTGACAATCAAACGACAAACAATCATCATACAGTGTCCAACGCCACGGACAAAGAGTCTATTGAAGACGAGGAGATGAATGTCTCTACTACCAATAACGCGGATATTGCCGTAGATCTTGATTAATATAAAAACATATATCAATGAGAACCGTGAACGATCGAAATTAAAAATGCAAAGGGCACCCGTGAAAAGCATAATATATAACGTAAAGTTACGTAAAACTGAAACAAAGAGTTTCTTGCAAGACACATATAGAACATACTTGTTAAATGATCGGACTTTTTAAAGGATCTCAGTTTTAGAAGCAAGTTTCGAGAAGCAAGAAAGAATAAAACCGCGTATGTACAATAGACTTTATTAATGTGATATGCAATTTTATGGGGCGAGGTTCTGTAGATCTGTAAACTGCTGTGGGCAAATACTAAAACAAGTTACAAACTGAAATACCTTGCTCGAGTAAGCTTTTGTAATTTTCTCCGAATACTCTGTATATAATTTCCATATGATTTATATGTGTCTCTAAAATATGTGATATAGTTTTATTACACAAATGATACAATTATTACAATGCTTTTTAACATTGCATGCTATAATTAAGCAATGCTATATAAATATATATATATATAAATCTCTTAATTAATTTTAATTCTTTATTAAGTAACAGAAAGCATTTTTTCTTTCTCACAGAATGAATCGATCTTAGTAAATCTTGCCTGCTCTTAACAAGAGCAATCGTGTATTTACATGTATACGAAAATATTATTGTTTCGCGTTTATACATATAGAAATACTCTCGCTTAAGAAGTACCTGTATTCCTTGTATATAAAAAATAGTATACGTATATCTCGATTATTATTGCAGTGATCTCTTTGTTTTGCACGCTTCGCGTATTATTTCAACGGGATTATTTAATTTATTGCTCAGATAGGAGAAAAGTATATCGGTATAAGAATACGTAAAGAAATTTTCTCGCGGGAGAAGAGTGGCATATATTTGACATATGCCAAATTACAGATTCTCGATTGTAACAAATCATTTACAGGGTTTTATTATTTTGTATTGTCGTGAATAGCGTGGATTATATATATGTAAAAGATATGGAAAGTTCGGAACTAGAACACAGCCAGTATCCGACATAAACGTAAATATTGTACATTGTTCCATAATTCATTTCACTAGGGTTAATCCTGTTATTGACAATATTGCTACCTCCATTTATTGTCGAGATTACACCGTACATATTAGTTCCGAGTACGACGTGACGATATCTACGATTTGCTAGATCCAGTAATAGATTCGAACCGAGATGGATAGTTAAACTGACTCTATATCCTTGTATTCGTCGGAATGAATTGTTAGCTTACGAAGATCGTGGACGATCATTCGTGGAAGGAAAAAGAGAGCTGCCATTTTAATCGCAGCAGAATTACGTTTTAATTAAGCTTAGAGCACGTGTAGAGCATTTATAGCGCTACTAGTGTAGTCAGTTACGATAGCATATGTATCCGATTAAGGTAAGAAATTCTTTTCTTCGTTATAATGTTCCTAGAGATACAAAAAAAAAAAACAATCTTTGTAATAATTCGTATAATATTATTAATTTACGATATGCTCTTTTTTGGAGCATACTCGGTACTTAACTCTATTTTTACACCATTTTTATGTTGAATAAATTTCAAAGTTAAACGGCCACATTTGGCAGTAAATAAAAGCTTTTGTTAGAAACGTTATAAATAAATAAATTATATATATA